GAGTATCATGAAGTTTTCTTCTGTGTCTCTCTTTTTTTTCAAAAGATTTTATTTATTTATTTTTAGAGGGGAAAGGAGGGAGAGGGGGAGAGAAATAGCAATGTACGGTTGCTTCCTATGTGTCCCCTGATGGGAACTGACCAGCAACCCAGGCATGTGCCCTGACTGGGAATCAAACCGTGGTTGTTTGGTTCCCAGGCCTGCGCTCAATCCACTGAGCTACACCATCCAGGGCTCTTCTGTGTCTCTTTTTATAGCCTTTGTTTTGATGTCTATTTTGTCTGGTATAAGTATTGCTACCTTGGCTTTTCTTTATCTGCATCTTTGTGTGGAATATTTTTTCAGCCCTTCACTTTCAGTTTGTAGATATTTGTTGAGAGTGGGTCTCTTGTAGGCAACATAAATGTGGGTCATGTTTTCTTATCCGTTCAAGTTACCCTGTGTCTTTTGATTGGAGCATTAAACCATTTACATTTTAGGTTATTATTGACAGGTACTTGTTCACTGCCATTTACTGCCTTTTGTACTTGTGTTCCTCTCTCTCTCACTCTTTTTCTTACTCTTTTTAAGCAGTCCCTTTAGTATATCTTGCAGTGCTAGTTTGGTGGAGATTATTCTTTAAGCCTTCTCTTGTCCGGGAAGCTCCTTATTTGGCCTTCCATTTTAATTCAGAGCCTTGCTGGATAGAGTAGTCTTGGTTACAGTCATTTGTTTTTCATTACTTGGAATATTTCTTGCCATTCCCTTCTGACTTGGAGCGTTTCCATTGAGAAGTCAGCAGTTAGTCTTACCAGGGCTCCCTTGTATGTTACTTCCTGTTTCTCCCTTGCTACCTATAAGGTTCCCTTTTTGACTTGGAATTTTGCCATTTAAATTATGATGGGTTTTGGAGTTGGCCTCTTTGTGTTCCTCTTGATTGGGACCCTCTGTGCTTCCTGGATTTGTGTGACTTTCTCATCAAATTAGAGACATTTTTCCATCATTACTTTTTCAAACAGGTTTTCTCTTCCTTCTTTGACTTCTCCTTCTGGTATCCCTATTATATGAATATTACTACATTCCATGTTGTCCTGCAATTCCCTTAACTGCTCTTTATTCTTTTTGAGTCTTTTTTTCTTTCCTTGTTCTTTCTGAGAGTTTTTCTCTATCTTGTCTTCCACCTCACTGATTCTAACCTCTGCTTCATATAGCCTGATTTTGATTCCTTCTGCTGTGTTCATCAACTCAGAAATTATATTTTTCATTTCCTCTCGGTTCTTGTTGATAGTTTCTTTGTCATTTTTGATGCTGATACAGTTTTCAGTAAGTTCCCTGTAGCTTCTCTGTAGCTTTTGGTAATTCTCACTGTGTTCATTGAGCTTCCTTATAACCATTGTTTTGAACTTAGTATATGATAGTTTACTTTCCTTTATTTCATTTAGTCCTTTTCTGAGGATTTCTCCTTTCCATTTGATTGGTGAATGTTTCTTTGTCTTTCCATTGTTTGTTAGACTTCTTGTTTGCTTCTGCTTCTTAAAGTGATATGTTCTGGCACCTTCTCTTTGTGGTGTGGACTTCTAAGGTAGAAAACCTGTGAGAGTCAGTGGTGCAGTCTCATTGATCTCCTGAACTTGGTGCTCTTGTGGTGCCTTTATGCCATTTATTTGGCTTCTTTCTGGATGTAATTGGTTTTTGGTTGTTGTTGGGTACTTCTCTCCATCTTTTTGACTGATATTCACTCTGCCTACCATGTATTATGTGCTGTTGTGCTGGTGCTGCCAGAACAAAACAGCTCAGTCCAGGAAGCAAACCCACACAGACAAAAATATCTCCCTTCCACAATCCCACTATCACCTGTAAATGACCCAGTATTAATAAGGATGTAAGGAGATTAAGAGTATTATAAGAAAGAGTAAATATGAGATGAACTACTTAATGAAAATTAAGGGAGGATAGAGGGAAGAGGTCCAATAAGAGGTGGGAGTCAGAGCAATGCAAATAGAGAAAGTAAAATTTACATCATGAATATAAAAGGGTATGGGGAAGCCAGAATATGCTCAAACTTGATGGACAAGAAATGAATGTTAGAAAGCTATACAGGAAAGAAAATATCACCAATTATGTAGAAGACTACAGTGGATTTTATCTCAGTAGCCTTTAGTATTTACCACTGTTTTTTCTTTCTGGATCAACCTTTGGTGATGTCAGATGTTGACCCTGTCTGATCTTAGGCAGCCTGTTCCAAGACTGCCAGGGATCTACTATCTGTGGCTGTTTCCTTCAGTTGTAAATCTAGTCACTCAGCAGTCACCCTAAATCCTCATAGGGTGGGGCAGAATCCCTCTTGGGGTTGAGTCCATTATTTCCCCTTACCCTGCTGCTACTTGGAGGGGATTGGTCTGCATGAGCACATGGCTGCTGCCATGTGGGGGATGACTCAGCACCAGATTCCTCCAGGCTACTCTCTCAGCTTTCTCCCCAAAGCTTTTGTCCCTAATCTCTCCTCAGACGTCTTTAGCCCACTCTGCTCCCACCTTTGACACTGCCCAGGGTAAGTGGCTGCAAAGATAATTTGTGCGTTGGCCCTTTAAACAGCTCTTGGCATCTCCAGTCATCCATCTCTGGCACAGAGAGCAACCCTGCTGCTTTTTGCCACTGGTTATCTGTGTACTTTTTGGGCTCTGGTGCTCTAGGCTGGGGATCCCAGCTTAGGGTTTAAACCCCAGACTTCTCAGGGGGATCCAACCAGTTGCTTAATTATCCCTCTGGCTCTGCTGCCTGTGGGTGCCCAGCCAGCCCTTTAGAGTCTCCACTGCACTCCTTACCAAACAGGTTGAGCTGAAGCTGAGTATTCTGTCTGTCCAAGTTCATAAGGCTTTTCTCTCACTATTGTTCAGTTGTTTCTTCTGGGTGATTTCTCCACAATTTAGTTTTAATTCCAGATTGGTCCTAGGATGAAGTTAGTGTGACTTCCATTCACTCCTCTGCCATCTTGCCGCAGCTGAGTTCCTTTCTCTTACATTTAGGTCTCTGATGTATTCTCTTAGTTAATTTCTGTGTATGGTATGAGGTAACGGTCAAATTTTATTCTTTTATATATGGATATCCAGTGGTCGAGTTTGTTGAAAACAGTATTCTTTTTCCTATTAAAACATCTTGGCTTTCTTGTCTACAAAGGATTTATTTCTACTACACCCATTTCTCCAATTCTAAGCCTTTGTTCCTGCTGCCTTTTATGCCTTGAATGCCTCCCCATCCTTTGCTCTCTTTTGTTATGCTAATTATTTCTTTTAAAGTTTGATAGGAGCCTGACCTTCTTGTGGGTCTTCCCCGATCAACACATACACACACCTTCCCTCCAACACATAACTTTCCTCCACATCTAGCATAGGGACCCCTTAGACAATGATTCACTTAATAACTGTTCATTGAGTTTTTACTAGGCACTCTGAAGTCCAACAGTACATAAAATAAAACCTGTTATCTACCCTGCTCCTGACCCCAGAAGTTTGCTGTTAGTGGGAAAATGGGCAATAATAATAAAATGTAGTAAATTCATAGTAGGGATAAACATAGGATGCTGTAAGAATGCAGAGGACAGAATTTCACTTAGTCTTCAGGGTTTTCTCATAGGAGGTGAGATCTGAACCAAAACCTAAAAAGGCCAGTAGGAAATTTGGAAAGAAGGAACATTTACAAAGAGAGGCCCAAGTATTTTAGCATTGCTGGATCAGAACCTCCAAGGATGTTAAAGATGAAGCTTGGAGAGATGAGTAGTGGGACCAGGTGATAAAGTGCCTTTTACAGCCAGAGAAGGAGTTTGTCCACAATCCTTGCAGGCACATAAAAACCCTGTGAAAGAAGAAAAACATGTGCAGAACAAATTTGAGTAAGAAGCTTAAATCTTGCCCTGGCTGGTGTAGCTCAGTGGATTGAGCATGGGCCTGTGAAGCAAAGGGTTGCTGGTTCGATTCCCAGTCAGGGCACATGCCTGGGTTGCAGGCCAGGTCCCCAGTAGGGGACACATGAGAGGCAACCACACACTGATGTTTCCCACCCTTTCTCCTCCCCTTCCCCTCTCTAGAAATAAATAAGTAAAATATGTTTAAAAAAAGAAGCTTAAGTCTCTTAAGCCATTATAAAATGAATTAAGATATAAACGTGTCTTTATGCTTTATTCTACTTTAATTGTCAAAACAAAACCAAAACCTCCTGCACCTGCTAAAAAACAACTTTACAGAATTACGGACAGCATGCTGGTGAACAAAGTCTTGATAATTAGTGATTTCTTGTGTTATGTCATTGTATAGAATTACAGACTTTGTGCTGATTAAAGAATTGTCTGTAATGAGCTATCACTTTTGTTATGTCTTTCTGTAGATTATTGGCAATTATATTACAAGATTTAAAAGATTTAAACCTCTGTACTTTATATTACTACTTTTTTCTCCAAGTGCCTCTGAGATTGAAAATTTAATTAAAATGTGGTAATTGGACTTTTTAGCCACATTAGCAGCAATATTGTTGTTAAAGAAAATGTAGTATACTTGTGTATACATAGATTTTCAGCTATATTTAGTAATTTATACTAAAATTTTACTAAGGAGAAAAAGATAGGTTACAACAGATCTATACAAGTTGACATACAGCTCTGGAACAAGTTTTATAGTTTCAAATAATTGTAGCCTAAAGTATGCCTTCAGCTTTGCACTCACTACCAGCATCGTAAGTTTCATTTACTGTGTCTCTCCCTCTGTCTGCCTCTCCTTCCCCTCTCCTATTATGTACAGAACTCTGGAGCACTTTGTTCATGTTTTGTTTTAACTAATCAATATTTCTAGGGCCTAGCACATAGTACGTGTCTTCATATAGGTGTGATTCACAAATGAATTATCCCCACAAAGTTACAAACTTTCATTTGAAACTCCATTATATTCTTAAACATGAAATGTTTGGTATCTGTAAAATTTTTAAAAAACGATCTTCAGGTTTAGAAGTTAATTTAACTTTTTTTTTTACAGGCATTTGTAAAGGATGTTCATGAAGATTCAATAACAGTTGCATTTGAAAACAAGTAAGTGTCTTGATATAATTTTAGGTTCGGGTTCTTTTATATTTTATGCTAATTATTCTTTTTACTCCTCATTAAAAAAATTAAGCCTAGTTTGAGTGTTTTCCAGGAGTGGATCTTCATGTTACTAACCAGGAAGTTCCTAAACAGTTCCACATTAAACCAATGGAAAAACTGTTCCAAGACACCTCAGAGATCCTGTTTGTATAATTTTGATCCTTACATCTCAGTTTCCTTGAATGTGAAAAAAGAAACCAGCTCCTTGTGTATTAGTAACTGAGAGTTTGTATAGGAATATTTGTAATTGTTAAAAGATTAAAGTGAATGGATTCATGGGTATTAAAAATTGGCATGAATTTTATAACATTAAATCTAAAATCAGTGGTATTAGTTTTCTATTATGTTTTTTTTAACTTTATTTTTATTGTATTGCAGATGTCCCCATTTTCCCCTCTTTTGCCCACCTCCACACAGTCTTTGCTCCCCTTCCCTCAGGCCATCACTTAGTATATTTTATTGGAAATAATCATGTTTACCCATTAACTTATATTTTATCTTTTTCTTATATTTATAATCAATAGTAGTGGTAACTGAAATTTTTTGCTTTCTTCTGCTAGATGCATAAATAAACATAGGCCTAAGAACATTAGCTATATGAAAGCATCAATAATATCCATATTCACATTTTATTGGGGGAGACCAGTCTCGACTAAAATTTTTTATTATTATAGTCCACATTCTGTACCAGTTTCAGATGTACAGCAAAGTGGCCAGGAAATCACACACTTTACAGAGCGGTCCCTCCAGTGTCCCAAGGACCCACTTGGCTGCACACAGTCATTATGACACTGTATTCCCTATGCTACAATCCATATCTCTATGACTATCCTACAACTACCAATTTATATTGATTAATTCCTTCACTCTTTTCGTGCAGTGCTCCTACCCCTTCCCTTCTGACAAACTGTCATTCTGTTCTCTGTATTTATGTTGACTAAAATTTTTGATTGCTAATAAAAGGCTATTTTCAGAGTAGCCATTCAAGATTGTAAAGTATAATAAACTCCTTTGCCAAAGTATAGATGTGGTCATAATCTTAATGAATCTTAATTTTACTGAACTCTGAAGAATCCTCAACAATTATAATATTTTGGCTCTTATGTACCAAGGGAATTAATAGTATAACAAAAGCAAATTACAAATTTATAGAGAGAAGAAATAGATTAGTGATTGCTTAGAAATGGGGGAATAGGGAGCCACAGCTAAAGACTATAATGTTTTTGAGGTAATGAATATGTTCTAAAATTAGCTGGTAACAGTTGTACATATCTTTTAATATACTTAAAACCATTAAGTTTTACATACACTTAAGTGGCTAGATTATATGGTATGTGAATATGTCAATAAATTTGTTAAAATATAGTATCTGAGCCCTGGCTGGTGTAGCTCAGTGGATTGAGCACGGACCTGCGAACCAGACAATCGCGGTTCGATTCCCAGTCAGGGCACATGCCTGGGTTGCAGACCAGTTCCCTGCAGGCCAGTTCCCAGCAGGGGACGCTCGAAAGGCAACCATACATTGATGTTTCTCTCCCTCTCTCCTTCCCTTCCCCTCTAAAAATAAATAAATAAAATATTTAAAAAAATATGTATATAGTATCTGGAGCCCTGGCTGGTGTGGCTTCGTAGATTGAGTGCTGGCCTGTGAACCAAAGGGTCACCTGTTTGATTCCCAGTCAGGGCATATGCCTAGGTTTTGGGCCAGGTCCCCAGTAGGGTTCGCGTGAGAGGCAGTCACACACATTGATTTTTCTCTTCCTCTCTCTGTGCCTTTACCCTCTCTAAAATATAAATAAATAAAATACTTAAAAATATATAAAAATAATAGTATCTGGCCCAGACACACTGTAGTTAGATTGTTTGCAGATTCTTTTACCTACGAATAGAACAAAGTAGAGTCCTATGATGCATGAAATACACTTAGGGGGATAGAGATAAAAATGATTTAGTGTATCCGACCCTACTCTTAGCTCTAGACTAATAATTTCTGTCCAAATTACAGAATACCTCTCTCTGAATAGAGCCTATAGTTCCAAATCTGCCTCTTTGTTTTTTCTGGTATCTATATTTATACTCTACACAACAGCATCACACCTCTTATGGACAAATCTTTGATAACTTGGAGAGTAATTTTTTTTCTTGTAATTATACTCTTTACCACTTGTTCCCATCACTAGGTAAACAGTTTCCCCTAAAAGAGTTACCAAAGTTATCTTTATTTGCCACTCTTAGTTTTTCCTGTAGTCCCTAATCTAGAGTATTAACACTAAGCAGTCATTTTCTCTTCATTTAAGAATATCTTTGTTTACATACTGATTTATCACATCAGCTCTCTTATTTTCAATCAGATTTCTACTATAAACATGAAATTATTATGTCTTTGGACCTCCCTCCTACTTCTCTCATATACCATAGCTGTATAAATGTTTCTCTTCAAATGATCTGTCATGTGTGGAATTTGAAATAAACTTTTTCCTTGAGTTCATGAAATATGTTTGAGAGTCAACACTGGGTTTAAGCATATCACCAGGATTTGGTAGGTCCCTACCAAAGTAGTCTCTTTGCCCTTCTTTGTTTTCTTTTTGTTTTTCTTTTTAAAAAACCCTAATATTTTATAAAACTTCAGGCTATATTTACCCTTTCTTTTAATTAAAACTTCCTATTACAGTGATACCAAATTATTTTAGATGCCTGTTTTTTTTACCTTCCCTACTCCACATTTTTTTTTATTGGTTGAGTTTTTAGAGGGGAGGAGAGAGAAAGAAAGAAACTTTGATTTTTTTCCCCACTTACTTATACATTTATTTGTTGATTCTTGCCCTGACCAGGGTTCAAACCTGCAATCTTGGCATACAGGGACCATGTTCTATCAACTGAGCTACCTGGCCAGGGCCTTCACATTTTTTGAATAAAGAATTTGAATTTTTATCTTTGTACATGTAAGACTTAAAAATAATCGTTCCTTATTTGAACTAAGAAAATAATACTGTGTATTATTATTTGCTTTACCGACCAAATTTATCAGTGAATTTGTAACATGTTAAAAGATGAAAGATTTGTATGTTCTGAACAGAAGCAGAGGATGTAACATGTTAAAGTCACTATTTTTTCAGTTAAGTTTAAAAAGGCTTTTCTGAGGTAAAGGCAGTTTTTTTTTTGTTTGTTTTATAGTTTTCAAGTGTGTATAATTCAGGGAAAGAGTTCAATCTAATATAGGCCCTAATCAGATTTCCACAAATTCTGACTGACTTACCGACCCTCCTGTCTTATATAATAGCTCTTCTTTTTTTTAAAAAAATGCACTTTTTTCTGTAGGATTTTACTAAGAAAGCTCTTTAGTTAAAAACAAGCAAAATAAAAATGCAGATGACTGCTCTAGCAGTTGAATCCTCCAGTGTTTTTGCAAAGATTCTCTTTTAGTGTTTCATATCATTGTGTATATAATAGAATAATTTGGGGTTTTTCAAAATTGTATCATGTCATTTTAAATTAAAGACATAGTTAACTTAACCAAACTCCTATAGGCTGTCTCCACTGGGTTTCGGTGGTTTAGAAGACCCCCACCAAGGCCAGTGCATGCTGGTAGGTCATACTGATCAGCAGTCAGCTATCCATGGCAAGAATTGACCACCTCGTGGGATCTAAAATTTAAATGGGGAAAAGTGAGTTCTGAATTGCTAATGTGCTGACTGCCCCATTTTGCTTGGGAATTAGGGGGCATTTAGTGCCAGTTTTTGTGGTAACTGGAATGTGGTTAAAATTCCTTTGCAAGTAGAAGTCTGGTGATGATATTACTAACACTTAATGATACTAACATATTTAATTTAAGCATCAAAGGACATTGCTGTTGTGGCTTTACATTTAGAACTCTTAGAGGTTGGAATTATTGAAAAAAAGGCTCATTTGGGAAATTATAATGTTGATCTGTTATGTTTAGAGAAATATTCCAAATAAAAAACTACAAGGCTGTTGTGCTGCATGCAGACTTTGTTGAAGTGTCTCTATGTTGCCCTTAAGCCCTACTTCCCAAAATACTGACAGTTTTAAAGCATTTGCTTCTTTAAATCAGATTATCAGAGGGTCATACCTAACCATAGTTGATGGTATCATGGTCATTGTTTCCATTAAACCGAAAAGCTGGTTAAATAATCGTGTGTTTGTTTATTTGCAGCTGGCAGCCAGAGAGGCAGATTCCATTCCATGACGTGAGATTTCCACCACCTGTAGGTTATAATAAAGATATAAATGAAAGTGATGAAGTTGAGGTAAGTTTCTCATGTCATCAAGTTATTAAACACTGAAGTAATGGGAGCATTTAAATTGCCTATGCCTTTTGTACCCCTTTAAAACTGCCTTGATAATTTTAGCTGTGATGGATATCAGCCTTTGACTGAGCTGTCTTAATAATGATTCGAAATAATGCATAATGCTTAAATTTGGCTGCCTGAGCAGCAGTCTGGGCATGTCTTAGAAAGTCACCACTCATTTCTTTTGCCCACTATTACTTATTTTTTCACTTTCCTCAATCTCTGAATCTTTGGATTAGGAAAATTAGTCTTATAAAGGAAAAAAATCATGACTCTGTAATAGAGCTTCATCATAGGATTTGTTTAAGTAGTAGTAAATCCTCCTGGTATATTTTTAAAAAGTCATCTATGAGTTTTAGTATGTACACATATAGGTAAAACATCTTTTCACAGGGTATGCTGTGAACCAACAGCTCATGTGCCATTGATGTGTTTGACTGAAAAGTGCTGTGGAGATGTAACATAATTAACAGAAACATTGTGTTAGTGCTTTAGCTAGTTAATGAAAATTTGGGGTTGGGTGGACTTTAGGCACTTGGGTCCAGTTTATATTATAATTGGTCTCTGTAATTTCCTCTCTTTCCTCCCCTGTCACACACTCTGTTTTAAGCTGCTTCTTTCTTCACAATGCCTTGTTAGTAGTTGCAACTTTATGAATATTTGTGGTATTAAGGAAGCGGCTAAGTAGACATTTGTACAGGTAAGGTTAAATGTACTAGGTATTTGAATTCTTATTTTCTGTGCTAGGTACAGACGATGCAGTGAAACAGAAGAGTCCCCTGCCTTTGATGAGGTCACATTCTAATGAGGATTGCTAACATGGCAGGTGTAAGTCCTAGGAAGAAAAATAAGTAAGAGGATAGAAGGTGATATAGGGGCAGGAGTGCTGTTTTGGACAGTGCTCAGAGAAGTTTTCTGGATATTTAGGTCTCTGTTTTTTCTCTACAATTTGAAATCAGAAATAGATTAAAGTACTATTTATTTACTAAAAACGTACTCAGTATCTACTAGGTGTAAGGAACTGGGCTCAGTTTTGTGAGGGATCCCAGTAAGGAACTAAACACTATTTATACTTGAAGACCTTTAGATATTCATTTTCTTCAGGAGACTACAAGCTCCCTGAAGGCAGGAATCAGGACTTTTGGTCTGTCTATATTAGGAATGTTCATAATAGTGTTTGGTTGGATAAAGGGAACTTTTTCTCAGTTGTATCACATGACAGGCGGTGTGACCAATGAGTCACTGTTGCTAGGTTGACCTCATACAATATTGCCTAATATAGCAGGTTATTGCTCTGGCTAGAGCAGAGTGGAAAGGAAATGATGGTAGCAAGAGGGAAAGGTAGGTTAAATTAAGTTTTATTTATTCACTGTGTGATATATCCATTAATTTTAAGTTATGAAAGAGGTAAGACACCAGGTCTTTTGGTCAGTATGTATCAGAAATTCTCATAATATTAACAGATAGAGGGGCTTTTTTTTTCTCCAACTTAGTCACAGACAGGTGGGGACCAATGAGACACCGTTGCAGGGATGACCTCTTTGTTTTACGTAACAATTACCAGGTTATTTCTCTGGCTTGAGCAGAGTTGTTGTTGGGGGAAGAGGGAAAGGTAGGTCGGGTTAAGTTGTATTTAGTCACACATGTTACTATTAACTTCAGTTGTAAAAGGAAGATAAGAGTTGGGGCTTTGAGTTGCTTGTTAGCCTTAGGCTTTGTACTTCTCTCTGATTGCTCCTCCTCACCCCCCCTTGTCCTCCTTGCTTCTTCTTTCTGCTTCTGATTATTACTGTTTCTCTATGTATACTATATTAACTTTGATTTGCTAGTGTTTTCACAAAAGGTTCCATGCTGTACATCGTAAATGAACTTTGAAGTGGTCACGAGAGAGAGAGTGGTTAGAAGAACTGATGCACAGTGTGTGAGAGCAGGAAGGTGGTATCCTGAGCATTGCCAACATGGAGTTGTCTGTTTTAGTGGAGAGGGTACAAGTGACCAGCAAGTGACCAAGGATCTGTTCATTTAGTCCCTAGGAGACATGAATGCCAGGATGGTATTTTTAGTGGGCTGTGAGTAGTATGCAGCCTTACCCATTTAGTGACCATGCAGCCAGGTGTAGGCCCAGATCAGGGACTTCCAATTATTTGCTTATTAGACTAAAAAAAAAGTTTGTACATTTTTAGATATATATTTTTTGACTTTCAAAGTACTGAAGAAAAGTATGCCCAGGTTTATGAATAGTCAGCTTATTGCTGAATTAAAACAGATAAATAGAAAAGATCGTTTTACAGGGCTCTCTCAGGTAATCAGGTAGTTTCTGATTATGTAGCTCTGTCTAGCTGTAGGGGTATCATCTAGTTTAAGGATACATCATATGGGTTTGAAAGACACCTAAGGTCATTTAAAAAAATTTTCCTCAATGTCTTATCTATAAATTTCTGAATGATGTTAATCATGAAATATTCTGTTGTAATCTTTGTGTAGGTTTATTCCAGAGCAAATGAAAAAGAGCCTTGCTGTTGGTGGTTAGCTAAAGTGAGGATGATAAAGGGTGAGGTAGGAAAATGCATATTTAACATTTTTTCCTATACTGTATCTCTTTACTAAACTCAGGTACAACAATTCAGCCTGGATTTGTATTTTAAAGAAATAAATAACTTGAGTCATTTTATTAAACTGTTCTCTCTACATGTTTAGTATGTTTCATGTGTTTCAGTTAATTGATCAAATACAGTTTTTATACTCTCTAGAGAATTAAAAACATGCTGAATAGGTGTAGCTTATTGCTCTTACTTTAAACACTATGACCAGGAATGAATTTTATTTATTTCTCTCAGTTTTACGTGATTGAATATGCAGCATGTGATGCTACGTACAACGAAATTGTCACAATTGAACGTCTGCGATCAGTTAATCCCAACAAACCTGCCACAAAAGATACTTTTCATAAAATCAAATTGGACGTGCCAGAAGACTTACGACAAATGTAAGTTGATGTGCAAGAAATGCTGAGAATTTACAGGTGATAGGCAATTAGTTTATAAGAATAAACATTTTAAAATAAAAATAAAATTTAAAATTTAGTGAAAATGGTTTGCAAAATGTGTCCAGTTATATAACTAAACCAGCATTGCACTTGTTTAAACCTACTTGTCTGGATACCTGGCTAATGTACATTTATTTTCTAAAATAAATTAACTTTGTTCACAGGCTTTTAAGATTTTGAACTGATTAATACAGATTTTGTCATAAGTCACAAATCAAATTCTAGACAGTGAAGATTACTCCAGGTTTTTTTCCCTTTTAACTAATATTTTCAAATAAATATGTAATATATGTAATAACTAGAGCTAATGAAGCTTCAAAAGGTCATCTCTATCTTTTTTTTTTTTTTACAGGGACATGTTTGGGGGCTGTGTGTCAGCAGGGAGACCTGCATGTGGTGTGCATGGCTGTGAGAGGTGGGGTTGTGGCATCCACCAATGCGAGCAACAAATGGTCGGAAACTTTCAGGAGTTTAAGATGGAACTTTATTGGCCAAAGTTTTACCTGCGCAGGGGCGAACTCTCGAGGTGTCCGGAGACACAGTGCCAAAATGGCTGCAAATGAGAGTTGCGCCTGGCGCTTACAGCCTAGGGTTTTTATTGGGGTGAGCAAGCAAGCAAGCAAGCAAGCAAATACAGAAGCAGACGTAGCTATTAGCAGTTGGCTATCTCGAGAGAACACACATGGCTATGCTCTCTGCTTGCAACAATGGATACTTTTCTGCAAAGACAAGGTCATGCACAAGGCGGTTATCTTGTTCAGCACTCTTTGTACTTTCTGTACTTTCTGTCTTCCTTGCTGAGTCAGTCTGGAGCCTGCCTCGGGTTCCTCTTGGCTACTTTTACCTAATTCCGGGCCTAACAGGGTCAGTGCTGGCACATGTGTGTGGCTGGGCTGAGGACTCTTCATTTGTTCCTGCCCATCCTCCCTGAAGGTTCAGTGGGATGAACAGGGAAGGTCCCAGGCCAGGAGCTGCAGGCATGGGGCAGTGGGCAAGGGCAGGCAGAGATATGGGGGCATCTCTTCCTCCCCCATCAACTTCCCACCTCCAGGCCCTCTGACTAGGAGATGGTCACAGTCCCTACCTGAAGGGAAGGGAGGAGTGTGAGTGCGTGTGTGTGCATGTGTGTGTCTTTGGCATCCTCTTTTTTTTTTTAGTTGTATTTTTTCCCATTACCATTTAGTCCCCTTTCACCCTCCTCCCCCACTGCAATCACCACACTATTATCTATGTCCAGGAATCCTTTTTCCAAAGATCATCTCTATCTTGATTTGGTGTAAGGCTGAAAAGACTTTTTAGTTAAAAGATTTTTAAAGATTGTGTCCAAGGGTTGTAGTAAGTTTGATTTGGGCTTGCTGCACTTTAAACATTAATGTGCAGTTCAAAATGCATAGGAATCTTGCATTTTGATTATAGATATTTCATAGGCATGTACATTTTTGTGCCTTCTGATTCATGTATATTTCCTTCTCTTCCTTAAACTGGTCAGCAGTTTTTCTTTATAAAAGAAGAAAAACAAAACAAAAGGAAGGAACAACAAAACAAAATTGGGTCCCCTGTACCCTATCTCCAACAGTTTTCCACAGTTAACTCAACAATATTACTTACTTATATTTAATTGAAATGAGGAAGCCTGCAAAGGAAGAATGCCTTCCCTAAATATATCACTGTTGGTAATCTAAGAACATCCATAATCCCTTAAGAATATAATTTTTTTCCTTTATAATCTCAAGTGCTTGATTAAGTTGAGTGTTTCAGAGGTTCACAGCAAAAGAACTAAACCTTTAAATAGATATATATCTTGCATAAATCACCACATTTAATATGAGTCCACAATTCTAAGTACAGATCTTTATGCCAGTAGTTGATAATCATTCATCTTAATTTCACAATGGATATTTATTTTATTTTTAGGTGTGCCAAAGAATCGGCACATAAGGACTTTAAAAAGGCAGTTGGAGCATTTTCTGTAACTTATGATCCAGAAAATTATCAGCTTGTCATTTTGGTGAGTATTTTTGACTTATTTTGGTGTTCATCATTTAGGGCATTTGCTTTAATAATAATAACGGTGTTAATTTATATCTTTTAGTCTGTCAGTGAAGTCACCTCAAAGCGAGCACACATGCTGATTGACATGCACTTTCGTAGTCTGCGAACTAAGCTGTCTCTGATACTGAGAAATGAAGAGGCCAGTAAGCAGTTAGAGGTATGTGGCTTTCCCTAGTGCTGCTTGTAATGGTATCTAGAATGGTAACTGTTCAGTTACAAAACTTAAATAAGGGCAGATTGTTCTTTATTTAGTGTTTGTTAGCAGTTCCTTATATTTTATATTTAAAAAATTAAATCAGGCCAAACATAATAATACTAAAGTTTTTGAGCATGAGAATTGAAAATTAAACACCAGTTATGTATATTAAGGAACTTCTGAAACTTGCTTTTACTAGAAGTTCATCAAAGCTGCTAATAAAATATTACACATTATCATTAAACTACTTGAGAGTATTTAAATATCAAATCATCATTCTTTTTTAAAAAGATATTGTTTATCTTTAGAGGGGAAGGGAAGGAGAAAAGGAGAGAAATATTAATGTATGGTTGCCTTTCTTGTATCCCCTGCTGGGAACTGGCCTGCAACCCAGGCATGTGCCCTAACTGGGAATCGAACCTTGATCCTTTGGTTTGCAGGCCTGCGCTCAGTGCACCGAGCTACACCAGCCAGGGCTCAAATCATATTCTTTTCATTATTTATGTTTATCTCTGTTTAAAAGGATATATATCTTCTTTATTCTAATCAGTTGTCACTCTTTAAAACTCCTGTCTTCAGATTCCTGCCAGAAGCTATTTCTCTAACTTACTATTTCATCTCTCAAGGTGAATTTGATCTACATTTATTAATCCTTCAATAATTTCCATCACCATACATTCGTTTTCATTGATAACTATCTAGTACTTCCATCCATTACCGAAGAAACTAAGTTCAAAAAAAGGGGGGAAGTTTCTGGTTCACAGGCTTGCGCTCAATCCACTGAGCTACACCAGCCAGGGCAAAAAAAGGGGGGGGGTTTCAAACTGCATTTTAAGAGAGAAAATAGTCAAGGTTGTATTCTTGTAAAATCCTGTGAAACTTGCCCCCTTCCAGTTTGATGTGTACTTTCTAAACTCTTAGCAAGGGAGGAGACACTTGAATCTTCTGTTGGTATATCTCTTTTCGCTACTTTGCTTTCCTTATGGCCATGGAAGTCTGTTAAATAGGTTTTTGCTCTCATTCTTTCTTAATGCCCTTGTGTTCATAATTTGATGGTTTCTTTAGTAGTGATTATCTCATAACTTTCAGTTCAAAACAACCTCCTTAATTCTCATTATGAGTATGATGGAAATATACTCATATGCCTCTTCTTAGGCATCTTAGACATCTAATTCTTAAATGAATTGTTGTACCTTAGGCTTATCATGTATCAGTGCATTATCAATGAAAATAATAAACTAGGTGAATGAACCTGAACTAAAAAAAAAAATTCTTGTTTTTAAAGATTGTATTCATTTTTAGAGAGAGGGGAAGAGAAGGAGAGAAATATCAATGTGCAGTTGGCTCAGTTGCTTCTCTCACACCCCAATACTGGGGATGTGGTCTGCAACCCAGGCATGTGCCCTGATTGGGAATTGAACCGGTGACCCTTTGGTTTGCAGCCTGTGCTCAATCCACTGAGCTACACCAGCCAGAGCTAAAAAAAAAAGTTCTTAAAATCCTACAAATATTTGATAAATTCTGTTAATCTAACTTACACAAAAAGGTATTATACTTTTTTAAGTATATTTTATTGGTTATGCTATTACTGTTGTCCAGATTTCTTTCTCCTCTTTATTCCCCTCAGACCAACATTCTCTACCCCCTTCATTCACATCCTTGGGTTGTACATATAACTTCTTTCACTTCTCCTTTGCCTACATTATTCTTAACCTGCCCCTGTGTATTTTATACTTACCAATTATGGTGCTTATTCCCTGTAACTTTTCCCCTGATATCCCCCATCCCCGCTCCCTTCTCACTGATAACCCTCCATGTGATTTCCATTCCTGTGATTCTGCTCTTGTTCTAGTTGTTTGCTTAGTTTGTTTTTGTGTTTTAGGTTCAGTTTTTGATAGTTATGAGTTTGTTGTCATTTTACTGTTCATATTTTTCATCTTTTTCTTAGATAAGTCCCTTTAACATTTCCTATAATAAGGGCTTGGTGATGATGAACTCCTTGAACTTGACCTTATCTGAGAAGCACTTTATCTGCCTTTCCATTCTAAATGAAAGCTTTGCTGGATAGAGCAATCTTGGATGTAGGTCCTTGCCTTTCCTAACTTGGAATACTTCTTTCCAGCCCCCTCTTGCCTGCAAGGTTTCTTTTGAGAAATCAGCTGATAGTCTTATGGGCACTCCTTTGTATATAACTGTCTCCTTTTCTCTTGCTGCTTTTAAAATTCTCTCCTCATCTCTAATCTTATGTAATGTAATTATGGTGACCTCAGTGTGTTCCTCCTTAGGTCCAACCTCTTTGGATATCTCTGAGCTTCCTGGACTTCCTGGAAGTCTGTTTCCTTCACCAGATTGAGGAAGTTCTTCTTCATTATTTCTTCAAATATGTTTTCAATTTCTTGTTCTTCCATTTCTCCTTTTGGCACCCCTGTGATTCCGATGTTGGAATTTTTTAAGTTGTCCCAGAGGTTCCTAAGCCTGTCCTCATTTTTCTTTTTTTTGAATTCTTGAATCATTCTGTTCTGGTAGAATGTTTTTTTCTTCCTTCTCTTCCATATCCTTGATTTGAGTCCTGGTTTCTTTCCTTTCACTGTTGGTTCTCCATGTATTTTCTTCTTTATTTCACTTTCCACATCCTTCACATTTCCCTCTATTTTGCGTTGCACTCAATCATTTCTGTGAGTGTCCTCATTACCAGTGTTTTGAACTGTGCATCTGATAGGTTGGCTCTCTCTTCATCATGTAGTTTTATTTTTGGACTTTGAACTCTTCTTTCATTTGAGCCAAATGTTTTTGACTTAGCACACCTGTTATGTTGTAAGGGGAGGAGCCATAGGTATTGGCCAGGGTGTGGCAACCCAAGTCATTGCATTGTGGCATGGTATGTGGCCCCATATACCATGCCACAGGTCTGAGAGGGAACAGTGCCGCTTGCTGGGATCTCAGCAGGCTTTCAGTCACTTCCTCTTTTACCCACAAGCAAATTGGGCCCTTCTGGTGCTGATTCCCGGGTGGGTGGGTTTGTGTATGTTCTACAACCCCTGTGGATCTCTGCAATAAACTCTCTCATGGAGCTTCAAATTTCTCCTGCTGTCACAAACCCCACTGGTTTTTACAGCCAGAGGTTTTGAGGTTTTCTTTTCCTGCACTAGAACTCTGGTTTGCACAGTTTGTGTCATTCCCCAGTTGTTCCTCCCCGTTTATCTGCATCATACCTCATTTTAGGTGGTAAGAGCATATGTAAGATAAGTTGTAAATCTTTCACATTCTTTAATTATTTAATTTAATTACTATACCAACACTTTTATTGTTATTCAAGTACAGTTGTCTCCATTTTCCCTCCAAGGCTGTCCCCCATTAGTCACACCAAGCCCCACCTCCCACCCTCAATCCTACTCCCCTTTGGTTTGTCCATGAGTCCTTTATATATGTTCCTTCATGACCCTTCCCCTTTTATCTCCTGTTATCCCCATTCCCCCTCTCCTCTGGTTACTATCAGTTTGTTCTTTATTTCAATGTCTCTGGTTATATTTTTGTTTACTTTGTTTTATTTATTAGGTCCTATTACTTATAGGTGAGATCATATGGTATTTATTGATACATTTAAAAACTTTTTAGCATATGTATGTATTTTATTTTTAAGTATATTTTATTGATTATACTATTAGAGTTTTCTCAACTTCCCCTTTATTCTCCCTCCCCCGTACCCCCTGCACCCCCCAACTCTCCAGCATTCCCCCCCCTTATCATGTTCATGGGTTGTACTTTTATAAGTTCTTTGGCTTCTCTGTTTCCTATACCATTCTTAACCTTTCCCCATCTATTTTATGCCTCCTAATTATGCTTTTTTAAAAAAGATTTTATTTATCTTTAGAGGGGAAGAGAAGGAGAGAAGGAAAGAAATATCAATGTATGGTTCCCTCTTGTGGGTCCCCTGGTGGGAACTGGCCTGCAACCCAGGCATGTGCCCTGACTGGGAATTGAACAGCGATCCTCTGGTTCGCAGACCCGTGCTCAATCCAGTAAGCTACACCAGCCAGGGCTCTAATTATGCTTCTTATTCCCTGTACCTTTACCCCCTGTTCTTTTCCTCCCCCTCCCCACTGAAAACCCTCCATGTCATTTTCATTTTTATGATTCTAGTTCTGTTCTAGTTGTTTGCTTAGTATTTGTTTTTTTTTTTAGCTTCAGTTGTTGATAGTTGTGAATTTCTTGTCATTTTGCTGTTAATAGTTTTTGATCATCTTCAGTTTCTTAGATAGGTCCCTTTGTCATTTCATATCATAAGGGCTTGGTGATCATGAACTCCTTTAACTTGACCTTATCTGGGAAGCACTTTATCTGCTCTTCCATTCTAGATGATAGCTCGCTGGATAGAGTCATCTTGGATGTAGGTCCTTCGAATGACTTGGAATACTTCTTTCCAGCCCCTTCTTGCTTGCAAGGTTTCTTTTGAGAAATCAGCTGATAGTCTTATAAGCACTCATTTGTAGGTAACTCTCTCCTTTTCTCTTGCTGCTTTTAAGATTCTCTCCATATCTTTAATCTTGGGTATTGTAATGATGTGTTTTGGTGTATTCTTCCTTGGGTCCAAATTCTTTGGGACTCTGAGCTTCCTAGACTTCCTGGAAGTCTATTTCTTTTGCCAGATTGGGGAAGTTTTCCTTCATTATTTGTTCAAATAAGTTTTTAATGTCTTATTATTGTTCTTCTCCTGAACCACCTATAATTCAGATGTTGGAGCATTTAAAGTTGTCCTGGAGGTTCCTAAGTCTTTCTTCAATTGTTTGAATTCTCATTTCTTCATTCTCTTTGAGTTGGATATTTATGTGTTCCCTTTGTTCCATATCCGTGATTTGAGTTGTGGTTTCCTTCCTGTCACTGTTGGTTCCCTGAATATTTTGCTTTATTTCACTTTGGGTGTCCTTCATTTGTTCTTTCATTTTTTAAACAAGCTCAATCAG